TGCCCCAGAAACTCGAGAAAATGCCCAAAGTCGGTTGGCTAGTTACACTGAGTGACGATGTCTTCTGGAGCTGTTTGAAAAAGTCTGTGGTGCAATGCACGTAACTAACACAGCTTTTCCGCAGTTATCAGAACACAATGGCCATTCCTCAATAGCTCTTCAAAGAAAAGAAATTATGTAAAAAGGGATTTTGTGATCTGGGTGACAACCGCTATCCAGAAGCCCTCAGATTTTGCATGAATGTTTTGATTTACCGTCTGTAACGCGCTTGACCCAACTACTTTGTTGTTGGTAACGAGGAGTTGGTTCCTCAAGTAAACCACACCCGCGAGACGTGGCTCAGACGCGTAGAACCAGAGATTCCGACGTCACTCCAGCACTGCAACTTGAGAGGCAACTTTCAGAATTGGTAAAGCTGCAAGCGATCCGTTTGCCGACAGCTCCTACCAACGAACTTCACTGCTGTTGTAGTTCGATAATGTGGGCAAGCAGATGGGATCTCCAACACTATGCGTAGAAAACATTACAAAGATCACTTCATCCGAGCAGCGATCGTCAAGAATTTTGAAGAAGGTCCAGCAAAAGTCTCCAAGCCCCTCATGGGATGTTCTGTCCCGCCATTTGTGTTCAGCCGATCCGGCCCCAACAGAATACCATCTGCTTCTGTTGCTGCTGATTCAACTAAAAAGGGAGAGCTTTATGTTCCGGACTACTCGAAAACGGACTTCCTCCAGTTTTTTGCCTTGAAAGCTCAGGACTTCTAGGCAAACGGCATCCACAAGTCACCTGCTGAAAGGCATATGTTGACGATGACGATGGGGCATATGACTGTAATGCTGGATGACCGGACTAAAGAAGAATCGATAAATGGCAATGACTTTCAGACAACAACCTAAGTATATAAGATTGCAGTTTAGACACTATCAAGGCGATATGCCGGCTTATAGGCGGAGCTTACGAGCCCCTCACCTTCCATAGGCCAAATACGACCCCCTCGCTGATATTTGCGCAACGGGCGGTTGACCCTGCGCAAAACTTGTGCGCACAACAGCGTGCGCCATGTTTACAAGCCACTAGCTATATTGGATACTATTGCTTTGTTAGAGCATTGTCAAACGCTCCTACTATGGTTACTACTGGTTTTGAATCTATCAATAAAATGGACCACAGTTATTTGTCTCAGTATCTTTGCCCATCCTGTAGGGAGAAAACAAAGTAAGCGGCGGGCCGTTATCTGAAAACAAGCAGCAAGTCTCCCTAATGATTTTCAATTGATTATTTAATGATCCATTAGTAATAAAGCGATTGATCAAAATAATTGCGCTTATCACTATGGTTATTCAAACAGATTATCATGTATGCGGTTATTTAGTTGTTTGTTTTGATCTAGTAATGTGTACAGCAATTTTCAGTGGTCAATGGTTATCTAAAAAACAAAAAACCAACCGATCGTTGGCTACCTAGCATTGTCGCTACAATTTTCAAGCTTTTATACGTGCGTGGCATCAACCGTCAATCGACTGCTCGCTATTTCTTGCCCTGTTCGATACAATAATTGGTGTGGCCGCAAGCAGACACTGTTTTGGATTATAGCGTGCTGGTTGATTGCGTGGGCTCATAACATCATTCTTTTGAAAGGTAAGATGACTTCTGACATTGATGGTTTCAGTGCTCAAGTGCTTTAGCAAAAGATGAGCCGGGTCGTTCCAGTGATGGGAGTGGATGACATGTTTTGAGACAAATCGTGTTCCTCAGTAATCCCAATGTTTGCAGGGGAGAAATTTTTGGGGTGGGTGGGCTATTTCCTCTGAATTTTCACAACCACCCTGAATTTCAGTGCCCAAGTACTTCATCAAAGCTTCTTCTCCTTTCAGCAATTAGGATTAGTATAGGCAATTGTTGCATCACATCCCCTCCCTCAGGAATAGACCTGATGAAATTCTGCAACAGATCACGGCGACTCACTGATTAAAAGCATCCCCCGGTCACGTTACTGTGGCTCTTGCACACGAATGCGATTATATTGGTGCAAAGTGGGCAGTAAAGAAAATACGAAAAGAATCCGTTGAAAATGCCCAATCAATAGTGTGATTTCCAAACTTATTCGAGCCCTCTGCACAAAAACCGATATTTTCAATCGATATCGATCGATAGCATGTGACCCGATGAATTTTCACTTTTACCACAGCCCCCAATCAATACTGTGATTCCCAACCTCATTCGAGCCCTCTGCGCAAAAACCGATATTTTCAATCGATATCGATCGATAGCATGTGACCCATCTAAAATCAACTCCTACGACACTACCCAATCAATATTGTGATTCGCTTAGCAATTCGAGCCTCTGCACAAAAACCTATATTTTCTACGGAGATTCCCAGCGTAAGCCCCGCCCACCTGGTCGGACTCCGCCCACTACCGTACCCTTTCTAACCAAGCCTTGCCTTCACCCTACACCCTCTAGGGGCAACTTCCTACCTATCCGGGACCATGCCACACCCATCCGGGACCATGCCCCAACTGGCTTCTTCTGCCTACGTCTACGTAACGTGCGAGCCTAGTGGTTACAAACAGACAGACAAACACACCAAACTGCTGCTTTATATATAAGAGGGATAATAGTTGTAATTAGTGACAACTAACAGAATACAACTGCAACAGGTTAATCATTTCATTGGCAAAAAAACATTTACATTTTGTGAAGGCCGTCGTCACTTGTGGTGTATGGTCTGCACCCGACGCTTTCTCGCTTTTTGAAAGGAGGGTACGTCATTTTCCAGAGGGCGCGAGCGGAAAAATTCCTTCCTTCCTTTCCCATGCTTTTTGAAAAAACTAAAGTCGAGAAAAGGGCAGTGACTTCGGCGGATTCACTTCAAAAGTCCTAATAGAAACCTCTGGCAGGAGGAAAGTCTCTTTTGGAGATAATCCAACATATGTTATGAAGCACTGATACTGTTGATTCCAATGGTTTTTCCGCTTCTCAATGCACCGAATTGAAGAAAATTATGGCCATTTGAAGGTTGAAAACTCCCGCCCCGCTAAGGAGAATGGCCTAAAAAGCCATAGAGGGAAAAATGGAACAACGGGACGATTTTTTGGAAGAGTGGTCTCCAAACAGGTTTTAGAATTTTTTGGAGGGCTTCTAATCTCGACATCTTGTTATATTTAACTTTCTCCTGGCGAGGTTTTACGAGAAAACTTTATTTACTGCTCAACCCGACCGGAACCTCTTCCTCTACCATCGCAATTGCAAAACAGCTCTATGAATATAATGCTTATTTCTGGTGAAATTTCGATTGGTTGCTCACAAATCATTACTAACATACAATACCGCTACTAATTTTTGTTCAATCGACGAAATGCGACGCAGTCAGTCCGTCGCAACCGTCGCCTCGCCATAACTCGTGAACAAATGGATTAGGTCATTCGAAAGTTATACCACTGGATAGCTCTGCTCACGAAGAATCCAACGGTTAGAGGACTATTGAGTTCCTCTGAATTTTTCGCTTCATTTTCATGAAATTTATCAAATTACCTGAGGCTGACTCATTAGCGAGCGTCGCTCGCTATAATTATAACCAGAGGGGAACAGATATTAATAGTAGTATTTAGCGAGTAATAAAGTTATTATATTACTCCTATGTAAAGTGAAAAAGAGACTGTTGTGTTCTTCAGATGGTGCTCGTCATTTTGATACCGAATTCATCCCAGGTGGGTCAGATTTGTTGAATGTCATTTTTACATGGAAAATCTCTTTGAGCCAAAGTAGAGTGAAAGCTAATAGGATCCGAGCCTTGCCACTTGACGTTCCTTTTCTACAGAGCTCACCGCATTGACGAAAAGATTTTGAAGTTCCTACCTAGCAACAGCTGTCTCATTTCGCAGCCTCGAATCGGAGAGAAATTCACATTTTTTCATGGGAAGAAAAGCAGTACAAAAAGTATACCATTGAAATCCTCGGGAAAAATGATTTTCATTGATATGAATATCAAGTCACAAAATTCTCTATGCTTTTTCGGGTTTCATCGCGGCCATCTTTCCAGCACTATACCATTCTACCTAATTGGTCGTCTCCGCCGAGCCGCTGACCTCCAGATGTCTCTCAATTACCAGAGGGCTTTTGTCGCACCTCAAGATCAACGAGAGAATGGTAGGACTGCGTTATGTTTCTATGAACAGCAAATCATCGAACTTAGCTAACTCAAAGTAGATCACTGTGTGCCACGTTTCTGTTGGGAGGTCATAGTGTCTCCCTCACTTACTATAATATTATTACCAAATCGTGACCCACTGAGTGAAGCGTGACTCACTTTTCTCCATTGGTTCCATGAGTATGAAGTGGGAACTGAGGGGGGGGGGGCATAATGATAAGAAATAGAAAGTTCGATGATTTGCTGTTCATAGAAAATAACGCAGTCCTACCATTCTCTCGTTGATCTTGAGGTGCGACAAAAGCCCTCTGGTAATTGAGAGACATCTGGAGGTCAGCGGCTCGGCGAGACGCCCAATTAGGTAGAATGGTCTAGTGCCGGAGAGAAGAAGCATAGAGAATTTTAGTGACTTGATATTATATCAATGAAAAATTTTTCCCGAGGATTTCAATGGTATACTTTTTGTACTGTTTTCTTCCCATGAAAAAATGTGAATTTCTCTGATTCGAGGCTGCGAAATTGACAGCTGGTGCTAGGTAGGAACTTCAAAATCTTTTCGTCAATGGGTGAGCTCTGTAGAAAAGGAACGTCAAGTGACAAGGCTCAGATCCTATTAGTTTTCACTATACTTTGGCTCAAAGGAGCTTTTCCATGCAAAAATGACATTCAACAAATCTGACCACCTGGGATGAAATTCGGTATCAAAATGACGAGCACCATCTGAAGAACACAACAGTCTCTTTTTCACTTTACATAGGAGTAATATAATAACTTTATTACTCGCTAAATAGTACTATTAATATCTGTTCCCCTGTGGTTTAATTATAATTCATTAGCGAGCGACGCTCGCTAATGAGTCAGCCTCAGGTAATTTGATAAATTTCATGAAAATGAAGCGAAAAATTCAGAGGAACTCAATAGTCCTCTGAACCGTTGGATTCTTCGTGAGCAGAGCTATCCAGTGGTATAACTTTCGAATGACCTAATCCATTTGTTCACGAGTTATGGCGAGGCGACGGTTGCGACGGACTGACTGCGTCGCATTTCGTCGATTGAACAAAAATTAGTAGGCGGTATTGTAAACTGGCGCTGTTCGCTAGTGGGTGTGTGAGTGCTTCAAGGACAAGCTCCGGGATAAAATTGTTACTCACCTGTTCAACTATGATGTACTGGGTGCTAATTGAATCGCCTTGTGCCAGCAACCAACACAACTTCAAATTATCAGCATGGGAATGATCGCTTAATCGCTATTTTTTCTATTTACCTGTGCTTTTTGTTGTTTTTTCTATCTCAAAAATTTGATTCTCCACTACAATGAATGACTGGATTTTTTATAATGGTCTTAATGTGGGCTTTTATGTCGGTTTTCGCACTTGAACGTAATAACTTTTCCTCTGGTACGCCCTTTCAGAATAACATTAAACAGCGGGATTTGGTCGCATGGAACAGTGGGGGGCCAGTAGGGTTGGGTGGTGGACGCCAATGCTTCAACCTAGGCTACTAGCTCCTAAACCTTGTCAAATCGCCCCTACACTTCTGCACATCGTTTGCCCTTGCGTACACAGCATATTTGACTGAGAAACCCTAAAGTTCGCCAGAAATCCCGCACTTTTCCTTTAAGACTTTGAGGAAGAAGAATCGGTGGTCAAAACGTTTCGATCCGGATAAAGTTTCCACCTAAAAACCCCTCGTTACGAAAGGAGAAACATTGAATTTAGCAACTGCTTTACTTTTTTCAGAGGACTGTAGCTTTACATTCAATGCTGGAACACGCCAACTGGCATTCAGCCCTGAACCATGTGGACGAGTGCTATCTCTCTATGTTGATCTGATTTATAATCTTGTAACAGCGATCATTACCTTGCTAGCAGATGTTTATTGTGTGGTAAGACTGGTACACGCAGAAAGGGTGAGTTGAGCACCGTATCAATCACTTCACGAAGAAACATCTGGGGATGGTAGTAAAGCACCCTCAACTCGCAATCAGAGGTGGCGATCAAACGTGGTTAGCGTAGAATTAGGAATGCGACAACCACGAATTGCCGCTGTGCGTTAACCGGCGAGCTGCAGGTCGTCGAGTGGGTGCAAGACTCACACTGCAGGACTGAACCCGGCTGATGGATTCACTTGAAGGCAGGTAGCTAGGCTGCGCCTGGCACTATTACGTGATCAGTTGAAGCTCGGCTCGTCGCGGAAGAGAGGCGGGTGTCACTATAGCGAGTTTCGCCGATCTGTTATATAGATCTACGGTGTGTTTATGTATACAGATTTTCGTTTTCGGTATCGATCCAAGCGATTGATGGGGGACGGAAGAGAGTTGAGTGAGTGCGCGGGGTCGAAAAGGCGAAGGGAGTGTAGAGAGAAAGGAGACGGTAGAGTTGCCATTTATGTCGCGAAGTAAAACCAGATTTAGATTGAGATCTGCCATTTAGTACTGCGCCTCATGAGAATTCAGATGAAGGGAGGTGGCGCATGCTTTGACACGCAACTAAGGCGTGTCAAAATGTTTCCAGGCCTTCTGCTCTTTCTTCAGGGAATCAAAGTTTTGTGGGCATTTCATTTGCGCTTGCCTCCAGGGTGTAAAATACAGAAATCTAGAGCTGTTAGGTGGATGGTTCCATTGTAACAATTCTTCGAAAGCAACGAACTCGAAAAATCGCTTTTTGAGAATTTTTGCTTTATTTTCTGTCCTGTAAAAAGCCAAGTAGACTACTCAAGTGGCTTTCTATCCACTACAGATGTGGAGTCTTTAGAGTGTCTGGCTGGGTTTTCACATCAATTTTTTCATTTTGGGAGTACGAAAGTCGACAAGGGGAGACCTAGTTTCTGCATCTGATAATTATCCTGGTGGTAACTGTAACTTTCGAGTCCCGAATTTTCCATCTGTGGTGGTTCCAAACTTATTGAAGAGTTGAACTGTTGCCCATAAGAGCTTCCCTGATACGTTAGACTGCCGCTAGATGTAACGTGCCAGAGCCCCTAGTGAGTTCAATTTGAGGACTGATGTACCGTGATGTAGTTATTTCACTAAATTTGAGAACTGCGCTTTGGTTTCAATAGGAAGAAGACATTGTACCCTATCACATAGTGCACAGAAAACGAGATGAAAATGGAGCGAGTCGAAAAAATTGCGTATGACCGCGCACACACGCCGTTTTGTTTTAGCACATTTTGTCCCACCCTTTAACATGGGGGAGGAATCACATTTTACAAAAAAATCTTCCGAAATTCATCTTTTGTGGAGATTTCTGGATAAAACGACACTTTCAGGAAACAGGGGTGGTTGTTTGTCGGTCGCGGAGAGAAAGGCGTTGGTTTTTCCAGGTACTCATTTTCCCTCCCATATAAACGAGTAACATTGAAGGCAGTGGGTGCGATATTTTGGTTGCGTATATAGCGTATCACGCAAGAAGAACCGAGAGTATCATTGTAGATTGAGATTGGCTCCATGGAATAGCTCACCGGCGACGCGGATGCGAGCGCGTGTGTGACGTTAGTTTGACGTCACAGCAGCGGCAAGGGATTGAGCAAGACAGGCGCCTACTTTATAACATTACGTATTATACACTGTCACTACGACTTCACTGTGCAGTGAGTAGAATTAATAAGGAATAATGGATTTATTGGATCACCGTTCATTCCCCCAAATCCGCAAACAAATTCCTAATTTTGGATTGTATCTAAACACAATACAACCTACTATTTATCCTAACATGAAATCTTGAGATGTTAGGTAGCGGCTACCTAACATCGCAAGATTATACGGTACGTATACCATGAAAAGCTGAGTTGGAATGAAATGGTGCCCCGGTAGCGTAACTGGTAGCGCACTTGCCCGGAAAGCGAGAGGTGCGGGTTCTAGTCCCGCCTGGGGCGAAAGTTTTGTTCACAACCCAGCATTCTTGTGAAACAATACAACCTCTTTGCTCACGGCACCATGACTGCACTAATTAGTGCATCAGCAACCCATTTACCTTCCAAGCAAAGTGACAGCAACGCTTTCTATCTCGCCCTCTCGTCGCCATTTTGTCGCAGCCGTGACGTCATCTGCACACGCTCGCGTCCGCGCCGCCG